GGTCACCCGTGACCTGCCCAGGAAACAGTAGGTGTCCGCGCAACACCAGCCTGATACTCAACTCCCAAAGGATTGCCTGAGTCCCTCCAAACTCCGGGGTTGAAATGCGACCTGACCGGGGAAGGGCGGGGCGCGGGCCGGGCCGGGGCGGGGAGGGGCGGCGCAGGTGGGCGGGCCGGGCAGGGGAAGAGGGGGCTGGACCTTTAAAGTGCTCACTGTGCGGGAGGCACGGCGGCTTAGCGGAGCTGCGCTGGGTGGGTGGGGTGGCGAGCAGACTGCCAACAGAGGCTGGGGACTGCGAGTCACAGCAGTGGTACCTGCCTCAGTTTACCACTCTGCGTTGCGGACGAGCCAGTTCGCCTGGGCGAAATCTCCGCAGGTGAGCCAGGCCGCAGCCTGGCGGAGGAAGGGGGTTGGGGTGGTGCTGGGCGGGGTCGAGTGGCAAAACCGCCCCCCAAGTTGTGCTAACTTTTGCGTTATTTTCAGGTGATGGCTGTAGTTGGCTAATCCGCCCCAGGGCTTGGTAAACTTAAGCCTGACAGGCTGGATCTTTCCTTTGGAAAAGGAGTGGCCGGGCTGGGCCAGTTCGCTCCCGCGACGTTCTGCACGTCTTGCCTGAGTTTGCAAATCTGTTTTCTCTCCTCCTTTTTTTCCAGAGCCCCGGAAAAGCCGTTCTGCCCCGCGAGGGAAACGGAGCCGTTGACCATGGTTGCAACTGGCAGTTTGAGCAGTAAGAACCCAGCCAGCATTTCAGAGTTGCTGGACCGTGGCTATCACCCCGGGAGCCTGCTAAGTGGTGAGTGACCCTCCCGGCTGCCCACCTCTGTCCCCTCCAAAGGACGCAGACCCTTCCTAGATCCTGCAGGCAGGCGAGCATGCCAGCGATTTCACCCGCTTCCTGAATGGAGAGGGTGCTACAAAACCCATCGGAAATCCCTTTCCAAACTTTCTGTCTTCGTCTGTCAATGAGAAACGAAAAGTAACAAAAATGAAATACTGGAGGACCACATAACTCTAGTCTGTTGCTGCTAGGCTCTGGGGAATTAAGGTCCTTATCATATATGCCTGATAAACTGTACAGTTTAGTGTTTTTAACAAATATTATTTACTGTGTAACCAGCATCCTCACACTCTCCCCCAAATGCCCACCCACTTTCCACCAAACACCCGCCTCTTTCCCCTCTCCCCGGGGAGTGACCTATCTTCTTACTTTTTATCACTGTAAGTTAGTTTTGCCTTTAGAGTTTCTTATAAGTATAATAATACAATATGTATTCTTATGTATCCGGTTTTTTTCCCATAGCCTAATAGTTTGGAAATCCTTCCATGTCTCTGCTTATGTCAGTGGGTTCCTGTCTGTTACTGCCTGGGATTCTATTTGTGGATGTAGCCATTATTCTGTTGTTAGTGTCAGAAGGAAACTTCAACAACAGTGGTTCTAGACTTATTGTCATTTGCAATTTTAAATGAAACTTTTTTAGTGGTACTGGGGTTTGAACTCAGGGCTTTGCACTAGTCCTGTCACTTGCAGTTTTAAACAGTGGTTGCTAAGTTAGCACAATGCTCTGCCACCAAAAGTTAATGTAAGCATATATAAATTGCTTAAGCTTTTTGGGGCCTTTCTCGTTTAGAAAATAAAATTAGGGAGTGGCCTAAGTTTTATAGGCTAAAACTCTAAAATTCTCTTATCTTCAATGTAGCTAAAATACACAACCCTTAGAATTTGAAATGTAGTAGTTGAAATCTTTGTGAATACCTGAAGTGAAGAAAGTAAAGTAGCCAATGAAGGTGAAGCTGGTTGAGGGAGGTGGCAAGCAGGGCATTTGCCTTGCTCTGCTCCTGTGACTGTGGGTGGTGGGCATCCTGCCAAGTGGGATTAATTTGGAAGGTAGGTGACCAAATGTAGAGCTATCTTTCCCTTTGAGCAAATCTAATTTTGTTTTCCTAGGTCTATTTTGTTTTGCTTGGCTAAGAAAAACTGCCCAGCCAGTTAAAAATAACCTCATGAACCTCAAAGGTCTTCTTAGAGAAAAACTGAGCAATCTATACCCAAATAGACTGAAGTTAATATTGGATCTACAGGCCATTTTAGTACATACATTTTTCAAAAACTGTAACTTTGATAGATCTTTAAAAGTTCATCAAGCTCATGATGGATTCACTTGAGAACAGTTGTAAAAATTCTGTATTTTACAGTACATGTATGCTTAACGTTAGAAAGTAACACTCTGTCCAAAAAAATTATAACTGTTTATCACAGATATAATGCATGTTCTCTATAAAACAAAACTAGAAAATTTCCAAAAGCAAAGCAAGAAAGAAAATCATTTAGTAATCTTGGATGACCCCAATTAGATTTTGATGCATAATGATGGATTGTATGTGTTTACCCATATACTTAAAAATGGTTTTAATAAGGGGGCTACCTTATTTATCAAATCTTTATTTTATATATAAACTTTCAGTCTTGTGAGATTAAACAACTGGTCTTACTTAAGTAGCTAACAGCAAAATGCAATCAGTTGACTCTCAGAAGAAATTAGAAATCAGAAATCAATACAGCATGGTGGTACCTGCTTGTAATCCCCAGCTCTCAAGATAGAGACAGGAGGATAGAGTTCAAGGCCAACCTGGGCTGCCTAGCCAGGCACTGCCTCAAAAAAAAAAAAAAAAAACCAGAAGAAACTGGATATGGTAGATAGAAGTAGCCAGTGTTGCTATGTTGGTATGCTTTTCCTATTCCTAGATTTTTTTCCCCTTTTATCTAAAACTTTAATTTCCTACAGATTTTGACTACTGGGAGTATGTTGTTCCTGAACCCAACCTCAATGAGGTGATATTTGAGGAGACAACCTGCCAGAATTTGGTTAAAATGCTGGAGAACTGTCTTTCCAAATCAAAGCAAACCAAACTCGGTTGTTCAAAGGTCCTTGTCCCGGAGAAACTGACCCAGAGAATTGCTCAAGATGTCCTGCGACTTTCCTCCACAGAGCCCTGTGGGCTCCGAGGTTGTGTTTTGCACGTGAACTTGGAAGTTGAAAATGTATGTAAAAAGCTGGATAGGATTGTGTGTGATGCTAGCGTGGTGCCTACTTTTGAGCTGACACTTGTGTTTAAGCAGGAGACCTGCTCATGGACTAGTTTCAGGGACTTCTTCTTTAGTAGAGGTCGCTTCTCAGCTGGCCTTAGGCGAACTCTGATCCTCAGCTCAGGATTTCGACTTGTTAAGAAAAAACTTTACTCTGTGATTGGAACTACAGTCATTGAAGAGTGCTGAGAAGGAAAACAATTTAAAGGTTCTTTATGATTGGGTAATAAAACTATACAGCTATTCACTTAAAGTCATTTGTAGTTTGCCCTGAATGTACTCAACTCCTAAATTTAGACCATACCTGTTTCTCATTCATCGCAACCCCAACTAAAAGGGCTGATTTTGTGGCTTTTAAGACATAACTCAAGAGAGTATATGTTCTGCGTATATCACATTTTTTCATGGAATGGAATAAGGAAGAAAAAGAAGTAATCCACTTCAATTTTGCATTTGATTCTATGACTTTTTACAGGAAGTCTTCATAACAGAACATATAAACCTGATTTGCATAGTTTGACTTTTATAGGGCTTTTTTTCCCCTAAGTTCTCAAAAGGATCCTTTCGATAACAGAACCTTACTAAGTGAGGTACAGCCCATCAAAATATTGAGAGGCCCACAATTTCCTGTCAATTTTGTACTCAAACAAGAGGGTAGAATTAAATGGATGAGCTTAATTATAATGTCACCCTAGGTACCAGTGAATAAGAAATGTCACAGAGACAATGGTCCTGTTTCCCTGTTTATTGGTGTCTGCCCCTCATCTCTGTTACAAAAAACTTGATGACAAAAGCTTGAACTGCATTTTAGTAACCACAGTATTACTCTAAGTGACTTTATGGTATAAAGTAAGCTCAATTTTCCTAGTTCTTAAGTTTTGAATATTGTCTTCAAAGTAGAAAAATGGAAACATTTCTGGCTTCTTAATACCTTAATTTGAAAGAGGTAGTCCCATTCAAATTCATTTGGAAACAGCTTCTTTTCAATGTTATATGTGCTTAATCTTAATGAACCACTTCACCAGCATTATCTCATCCTGACCCTGTCTGGAAATTGAGCTGTCTCTCCCTACCCCAATCTTTTAATTATAAAGATATTTATATTGATAAAGTCTGCTTTACCAAAACATTAGACAATGAAAATCATGTTCCTGATAACCAGTGCACACCCCAGCCTCTTTCCACCATCCACACCCTGCCCCTAAGGAGTAATAAAGGCCTTGGGTTTGTTTTTTGTTTTTTGTTTTGTCCTATTCCAGCTAACTAGAGCTGTATCTGTCTTCTATGTTAATGAGAGAATTTAGCCTTCACTTCACACTATTCACACTGTCAAGATCTTCACATTCTCACTATGGGTCATGGACAGGTCTGCCAAGCCACTAGGGCCACAGTGCTACTTCACATATCTGAGGCATCAGGATGGATGGGACAGATGTCTTCATCCTGGTGTTCCAAAAACAAGCCAGATCCTGTTACTTACACTAGAGGTGACCTAAAATGTCACTGCACAAATGAGCAGGTGTTTTAACAAATTGAACTCTTCAAATGCTTGGAAAGATACCACAAAGCCAGTCATTATACTGCTGGGCCAATAGACAGTCCTGTGTTGCATGTATGTTATTCAGGCTTCTGAAGGTCACTGCTTCTGCTGACTGTAGTTGAGACTTCTGGGCATGGAGGTAGAATTGTTTCCCTTGTCTGCTAACAGTTGTCATTCACTCTCTTACCTATTTTGCTTACAAAATGGTGATGACTTATGGAGGCTCTTAATATTCCTGTTAAAGGAAATTAAAATTTGTCTATTTTTGACAATAAAGCATTATATATTTTTAATTGTCTTGTCCCTTTTGTCTTCTGACTATGCAGTGATCACCCTCTAATATATTTGATAATATTTGGAGGAAGATAAATAAAACAATTATTCCTTTTGACAAAGTCTATCCCACTCTTAATTATAACATTACATTGTATTTATTAAATGTACTTATGTATTATTAAAGAGTAGTTTGCTTCATAATTTTTCAACTTTCTTTATACTTTTTGTAGGAAGACATTAACAATTTGAGCCCCTTGGAGGGGAGGAAGCCATCAAATCTCATTGTATAAAGGTTTGTTATTTGCTTTTCCAATGACCAAACACAGATATATCAAATTATCTGATCAGAGAACATATTCATCTTTATCAGTATAGTCTATTTGAATAACATATCCTTATAATTCCCCTACTATTCTTCAATTTGAGTTTTTAGTCTTTTTGCTTCCTTTTTCAGTCTCCTTTTATTTACGGTCATTAGCTCAGATTTCTCACAATAGGTAACCCACACAACAATACCTGCTAAGTGCCAGGTGCTAGGTGCTTCAGCAAAATTCATTTACTCTTCAACACCATATGAAATGGGACTCCCATCATCTCCATCTTATAAATGACCAGAAATAGAGAGCTCAAGTAATTTGCCTAAAGATACTGCGTTCTGCAGTGGAGCCTGGGTATAAAGACAAGCCAAGTGTGCAGGCTGCACTCTCACTTTCTGCCCAACACATGTGCTGCTCCAAAAGTGCAAGGCACCCTAAAGGTATTGTTCACATCAGTGAAGGACTGGAAATACAAAGTGTGTTCTTAGTGTGGTTTCTGGTCAAGTAGGAAAAAAGAAGAAAGTTTGGCAATATTCAGCATTCATCAGAGTAGAGCCAAGCTCAGATTAAAAAACTGTTCAGATGTGGAAAAGGCGTGCATTTCAATCCTGACACCTTCACTCCTATTCTGTGAAGTTTGCCGGTTACCTTTGCATGTAGCATCCAATAAAGATGTGCTCTGTCCCCTACCTGACTGAGAAATAAATGATTAGGTAGGCTGTGTGATGGCCTCCTAAGGAAGTAGGGTGACTTATTTTTCTCTTACCAAAAGACATATATGTTATTTTACATTAATGGGTTCAATTCACCAGTGACATGATCTAAACCATAGTGAAGTTGGCTTCAAATTGGAAAACTGTCATTAGTTCATAAGATTCAGGAGATTAAATCCATTACTACATAATAATATATTGCTATTGACAAAGGGAAAATAAAGTAGCCTGTTTTCTCAGGAGCCATCATGCCTTAATACACACACACGTTAGTCTTAGGTCTCATACACAGTTCTCATTATCTGTGTAGATTTAAACAAATAATAGTGATAACAATAATACTGTTTTACAGCCCAGTGCAGGTTGGTGACAGAGGGAGAGGTACATGGTGGCGTACTGAGGGGGAGTTTTATCACACACTTATTCAGAACCCTAGACTCCTGCCTAACCTCTTACTGTTAATTGTGGACTCAATACTACTTTCATCCTCTACATCTGCCACAGACAAAAGAGAAAGATTGTGTGAAGGACCTTGGGAAAATTTAGGGACCAAATGTGCAGATGGTGCACACAACTTCTTTCCACATTCCATATAGAGCTTAGTCACATGGCCCGGATTAGTTCTAAGAGGAGCTGGAGTGTATGGTCGAATGGTGTGTCCAGAAGGAAATGGGCTTGATGAGTTGCCTATACAAGGAGAGACTAGTTAACCAATGAGAAAGAATAGCCCAGACACAGGGCTCTCTCTCTATATATATATATATCTGCAAAGCTGATTTCCGGCCCAGCTGGCCCTTTGGGTCAATAGAAAAAAGATGGTATTTTCAATAATAGGTGCTATAACAACCATTTAGATGAGTCTGATGCAACTACATTAAGCCTAAGGAAAAAAATTCAATTCCAGGTTGACTGAAAAAGGAAATTGGAAAGGGAAATTTTAGAGGATAATATAGTTTTTATGATTTTGATGTGGGGAATTTTTTTAAATAAGATGTAAAGATATAATGAAATTTTTATCAAATAATTTTATAAGAGGATAAAAATGAAATTCATGAACTGAAAGGAAGCATTTTCAATACATATAACAGAGAAAGGGTAAGTAAACAAAATACATCAAGAATTCCTGAAGTGATTTAAAAAAAAAGCCCTTTACTGAAAAAGATAAATATATGAAAAGACTCTTGATCTAACTAATCATCAGGGAAGTGCAAATTAAAAGCATAATAAGATATCCGTGGACATACATGTATATTGGTTTAAAAATATATAATTCCATAAGTTGGTGAAGCTGATATGTTTTCTCTATCTTAGTAGTATAGCATTGTTCTGTGAAGTTGATAATAGGCATATTTTAGGAACCAGAGATCTTATTTTTTGTTATCAAGCAGTGTTCTTCAAACTTTTGCTTATTGCACATCTAAAAGAATTTTTAAATTCTTTATATTTTCAAATTCCCATTCAAATTGTCACCCTAAGTTTTAAAAGTTGCAAATGATGTAAGCTCTTGTAGGTGGTAAATCCCAACCTTTTAAAATAAAACTATTACATCATTTCACTAAATGTTTCCAGCAGAATGTAAATAGCATAGTAATTTGATACTCACCATCATTTATATAGAAAACACTAAACTGGGGTCTTCAGCAAAATGATATGCTTTTCAGTGTTATTTTTTTCTTTGTTCCTGTATCTTCTCAAAGTCTTCTTTTTATACCGAACTTACTTTAATATAGTTTTAAGTTGAAAGTCTTTGATTTTTCTCCCAAATAAAATTATAAATTGAAATTAAAATTTGTCAAATGATGTTTTAAATGTCAATTTTTATTGAGTTCTTACAAATAGTAGTGCACAAAAATCAACAACTAACAATAAATATATTTTCCAACTTTATCAACACAATGAAATGCTAAAAATATAAGCTAGTTTTTCACAAGATTACTCTTTAGTTAATTCTTGTGGGTAAATATTTGTTTTTACTAGAAATTGAAGGTTAACCATCGATTCTATTTTTTGTTTCTATAGATGTAAGCGCTGAGAAAATGTATTCACACCAGTAAGGTGAGAGTAGAGGAGAGTTAGTTGTTGCAGTGTCACCTAATGTTTGAACTACTTTCAAGATACATGCCAAAATCACATAAATACCTATCACTAAATTATTTTGAATGATAAACTTGCACATTGTTTAGAGTTTTGAAAATATTATTTAGGTCCAAGGACCAAAGCCACCCGACTTGGAAAAGGACTTGTCACTTAGTTTGCTAGGCCAGCCATAGCAAGCTACCCATAGTGAGTGGCAGAAAATTAATTCCTCACAGCTTTGGAGGCCAGAAATCCAAGGTCAAAGTGCTAATGGGATTGGTTTTTTTCTGAGCCCTCTTTCTTTGGCTTATAGATGGCCATCTTG